TACCCATGAACCTCCAAGTAGGCTAAGCTCATGGAGGCCCGGCCTTTCCTCAGCTTCCGAACGCGGCCGTGGCCGCGCTGGCGACAGCGGAGAGGCTCCGACCTTTGGGAGCTGTGGGCTGAACAAGAAGCAAAAGCAGCAATAGTAGCGTAGACATGGGTAGTTGTCTAAATTAGGGTTCCTCTTAAGGTCCCCTGGGGTTTAGGGTTTAGGGGCGCACCACTTGTAACAAATCGAGCAAAAATGGCAAGTTATCGATAGAATCATCGTCGGAGTCTCTCTGCAAAGCCGGACCTTGTTCTCCAGAGGTCGCTAGGCGCAATTTGGGGCAATTTCATCTTTTGTCCTTGCCTTGCCTATAATGTGCAATGTTCTATTTAGATGTCACGCAAACACGAACATGTATATACACAGAATCAAAAAAAGGATTTCCATGTAAAACATACATATTAGCAATGTAGCATGAATCACTAGATAGACCTGTACATAGATCGAGCAAGACAGCTTTCTTGTCATACGTCGTCGTGTGGAGCCGCCGGGGATCCCAACGCTTGAATTCGAGTTCGAACCGCGAATCCCCAGACCGAACACAGACAAAGGTCATGAGGTTATGCCTTTTTGCGCGCGAGGCGCAGGTTGGGGTGCAGTAAGAAGGTCACAAAGGTTATTGCCACTTCAGTGGTCCGGCTTTACAATGCATGCTTGGTCAAAACCATCAATGCCACGATGATGATGATGATGGTGATGATCATGATCGTCATAGCTACCACCCTCAGACCTACTTGAAGCTCGCGCCAGGCGCCCTGGCGTTTCGGGAGGCCTTCGGCATCAGCCCCTGGGAGATCAGGGCCTTCCTGGACTCTGCCTGCCGAGGGCCAGGCTGGATCCTGCCCTCATGTACTTTTGTCGTGCAAAAACGAGTTTTTACATGGTCTGGTCAGGGAGTTAGCAGAATTTCAGGGGATATGGAAATGCTCTAAGTTTGTGTCGGTTTCGGGATCCATGAGCGTTGGGGGAGTTTCTGCTGCACAGGCACAGGTGCCGGCCTCTTCCATTCGCGCTTCGCGAATGAGGCAAGGCGGCCGCTGTCAGAGCTCCGGAGCACTTGGAGAAGCTCCGAAAAACATGACGTGTGGAGCCCGCAACTGTTTTTTGTGCCTGGAGGGCAGGTGTCTCGAGAATCCTCGAGTCTTGAGTACGGCAGCAACAACTCGCGGCCTGCTGTGGCTTACAAGGAAAGGTATGGCGGGCATGGGGATGCCGGGATGACGGGCCTCCGATGAGGCCGAGGCCCCGTGGGCGCCGTCCTCCTTACCGAGTTCAAGCTGAGGAGTGATTGTCGGCTCCTGCCATTGACATGGGCCCACGTCTCTATCTCGTGATATCTGGTGAAAGCGTCGTCCTGAAGTCGAAGAAAGCCCGGACACTGAAGCCGGGAAGTTCAGAGCTTGCACTCCAAAAAGCAAACTCCTGACTCAAGGTTTGTTAACCGTGCTTCCCTCATAGCCCCTGACTCGAGCGTCCTAACATCCGAAACCGCGAAACCGAAATGCCGTCGCATCTGCTATGCCAGGCCTCGTTCCAGCACCGACCCCGGCAAGTCCTGCGGGTGCAGCGCATGGGGTCTGGGAGAGACTGCAGAGGTTTCAGGGGCTCCGGGGATTTGCAAGCTGGACGTCCACATGATAGGAGGTGGCTTCTTTGAGGATGGATGAGAGAAGTGGAGTAGGTGAAGCCTCCTAGCTAGTTGTGCTTGAGGGCTTTTCCTTCCGGGACACGTCGCTCGTCGGCCATGGCGCCAAAGCTTGCGGTCACCGTGTTGGTGCAGACTTCCGCGTCGATCTGCCGTCATGATGACACAAGGAGTTCTGACGAATCCAGTGGAGAACTTCGATTGGAAAGCTGATAGGTCTGAGGCACTGATCTTGCAGCTACAGTTTGCATGTTGACGATGCGTTGAGGGCACATGCATCGTGTCTGCGAAGCAAGATTCACTCTGGGCAATGATGACGGAACGAGACTGACAGTCTAATGGAGAGCCTCGATTGGAAAGCTGATAGGTCTGATTGCCTGTGCTCTTGTAGCCGCCGTCCGTCGTCGGTGCTCCCGCCGTCGCGGTGTTTGCTTGGTTCCTGACACGTTGAACTGCCGCAGTGATGACAGAACGAAGAATGACAATCTCATGGATATCTTCGATTGGAAAGCTGATAGGTCTGACACGGCCAACGTATGCAAAAGATCTCGATTGCACACGGGTTGTCCATGTCGCAATGTGTCGCTGTAGAGAATCCCTGCCACGCTTATAGATTGCTGCCGGCGCTCAAAGTTGAAAAGTCTGCGCAACATGATGCATCAACGACACCCGAAGCTCGTGAGGATTCCTCATAAGAAAGCTGATAGGTCTGACGGGTGCAGATGTCGACCTTGAGCTTTGGTGAAAGTCGGCGCCAGTGCTGGTCTACTTTCTGTTAAGATGGTATTCGCTGGAAAGTTGAGCTCGATGATCTTGACTGGGGAATGGATCCCGGTCCAAGAAATAACATCCCTCGTCGTTGTTGTGTTGCTGCGCGCCTGTTTCTGGTATTGGAGCAAGTCCCAAATCCAGAACGGACGCCTGAGTGGGAACGTGCTTGCCGGGGAGCACTTGGTTCTGCCGTGATCCAGCAGCATATACTGCCACGTGCAAGAAGATTCGAGATGTCGACGTACAGTAGCACATTGTCAAATTACTTTAAGGCTAGAATCATTATTGCTAGTCTTGTTGCAGTTATCGGAGACCACAGCATTTTTAAGTGTTGTTGCTCTTGCTCTTCGTATGAATTTTCGGATGTTGTTGCTGCTTTTAATTCCTGACTTTCCCATCAAAACCCTATATCCCAAACCTGTAAACTTTAAAGCCTAAACCCTGAACCCTAAAACCACAAAACCGTAAACCCTAAACCCTAAACCCTAAACCCTGAACCCTATGTCTTGGCCGTTTTGGGGTCTGCTTTGGACTTCTCCTCATCCCGGCCCAGGCCCCGGTTGTCAACGGGCCACTGCGGACCGCGAGGTCGAGTTTAGTTTAGGGTTTAGGGTTTAGGGTTTGGGGTATGTTCTTGGTTTTAGGATTTAGGCATTTAGGTTTTTTTTAGGGTTTTGGGGCCTGGAGATTTCGGTTTTAGGGTGGGGTCGGGTGAGGACGAGTGCAGGTTAAGTTCATTTGTTTCTCCAGGTACGCACTGCTTGCAAAGCGCCCTCCACGGTATGGGTGCCGCGCTGAGTGCACGTAAGCGATTTGGCTGCCGGTGTTTCGTGCTGTCTCGACCGAGCGGAATTGGGAAGCACGACAAGATCTTGATAAGGCAGACCACTCAGTTCAAGAGACTACTCTCGGCTCCTCAGCCCGGGTGTTCACTATGGTGTCGGTCAGCGACTAGCTGGGTCTAGCAGACTTTCCGCGCGCATGCGCCGGTCCTCAATCGGTTCAAGCCTATGCTCGTCGCTTTGAGCGTGCCGTAAATGTTTAGCATGCTTCAGCTGCAGGTTGGCGCCGATGTGATCAAGGCCGGAAACGGGGATTTGCAGCTCCGGCGTCGGAGGGTTACATGCTGCAATCCGAGCATCCCAGACGTGTTTTTTTCAGGACTCTTTGTTTCAGACTGGGTTGATGTCTGAGCTTTGTGTTTATGTCTAGACACTTGGCAACTCCTTCAAGATAGCGCAGCTCATGCAATCTGCAGATACGAACTGGGCATGTCTGATCATTGCGGACATGGTGTGGACAGAAGTACCTATACTTTAGGAGCAGCGGCAATGAAAGTTCTCATCATGTCAAGGTTTGCACACTTTCGTGCCCCCTTTCGCCTGATCGGCATGCCCGCATGCACATAAGAAGATTATACTAAAGTATAATTTGCAGTGTAATTGTTTTATCATTATGCCACAACAAACAATCATGTGCTAGAAGGTAGTACAATATACTATCATTGTTATAACATACCATCATATACTATAATGGTCTATTCTAGAATATGATGGTATGTTACAGTCTAATGGCCCATCTTACCTCCTATGGTTCGGATCTTCACCCTAAGCCCTAAACCCTAAACCCTAAACCATAAACCCTAAATAGCCCATACTACCTCCTATGGTTCGGATCTTCACCCTAAGCCCTAAACCCAAAATAGCCCATACTACCTCCTATGGCTAGGATCTTCACCAGGTCTTGGCAGGGCCTGAGCTGGCTCAGCTGACGTATCGGCCGCCGAGCAAGGACCCTTCATTTCGCTTGGAGTTAAGGGGTTTAGGGGTGTAGGGGGTTTTAGGGGTTTTAGGGGTTTTAGGGGGTTTTAGGGGGTTTTAGGGGGTTTTAGGGGGTTTTCGGGGTTTGAGGGGTTTTAGGGGTTTAGGGGTTTTAGGGCTTCATTTTGATGCCAGACAAGACTTGAAGTCGTTAAAAATCCCCTAGTAGCTCCCTGTATGATTATACTGTAATCGCCTTTCACAGCCCCTACACAACTGGACTATAGTATTTCCCCAAACCCACAATCCCAACTATACTTGGAGGTTCATGGGTAGTTATAAGTGTGGGTAGGGTAACTGTAATTATACCTCATCTTATGGGACATAACCATTCTATAACTACCGATGAACCTCCAAGTAAGACAGCGCCTTTCCAGCGCAAAGTTGCAGGATGAGCTGGGACCGAACCCGCTGTCGGTGGCGGCTCCGGGCTTACGGCTCTTCCCTCTCTGATGCACGGTTCCACAGGGACGGTACTCCAGGGGGAGGGTTTGGCTACAGTTACTGCTAAGAGGTACTGGAGGGTTAGAAAATAATAAGGGGGTTTAGGGTTTAGGGTTTAGGGTTTAGGGTCCCTAAACCCTAAACCCTAAACCTTAAACCCTAATTCGGGGGTTTTATAAGGGGGGGCGGAAAAGCTCAGCCTCGGCTCAAGCCCCGGCCTGCACTGAGGAGGAGCGCGGACAGCAGAGTCCCAACGACTTCGGCTCCACCGCTGAGCTGGAGCCTCCGCCCAAGGCCGGCCCTGATAGACTTGTTACACAGAACCCGGCACATGATCCGCCTATAGTATGTTATAATATATTATAGTATATTATAGTTATAGTATATTATAGTATACTATAGTTATAGTATATTACAGTATATCATAGTATATTATAGTATATTACAGTATATTATAGTATATTATAGTATATTATAGTATATTATAGTATATTATAGTATATTAGATGATAGTAGCAAGATGCAGTAGTTAGATGAGTAGTAGAAGTGGTAGTGGCAACGTCTGCTGGTAGTCACGGCCCCTGCACCACGTTCGAACGGAGGGTCGTTGGCGTATCTGTGTGGAAGGACGCTATACACCCGCTTCCACCCAGATCGCCTTACTTGTAGCTTCCTCGGCCCTTGGCATGTGTGCACCGCCAGCTCCATCTGTCGTGCTTTGCTATGTTTGGCTCGATGCATGTTCATCTCAAAGCCAGGACGAGGCTGTGCGGGCCCACGAATACCGCGCAGCCGCCTTTGCCTCGGCTCCACGTGTGCCAGCTGCATGTTGATAGACTCGTGGCCAACCTGCAGCTTTGAGCTCAACTGGTCCTGGCAGACTGCGACGAGAACAGTACTAGCTTACATGATCCAGCCGCTTTCCGTGAAAGAATCCGCACGAGAGCAAGAGGAGCTGCAGCAGCCAGCAGCAACAGCGGCAACATCAGCAGCAATCACAACAACATAAACTGAAAACTGCTACGACTACTGTTGAATTCAAGCCAGATTACCCTGGTAAACTCTACTAGGAACCCTCTGCGGCAAAGTTCCGCGACGTACGGGCGACAGCAGTTTCGAGGAACCGCCCAGGCAAATGGCCGACTCTCCGCAGGCCAGGCGAGATACAGTAGCAATGTACTACTACTGCTACTGCTGCTGCTGCTGCTGCTGCTACTACTACTACTACTACTACTACTACTACTACTATACTACTACTACTACTACTCCTCCTGCTGCTGCTGCTGCTGCTGCTGCTGCTACTACTACTACTACTACTACTACCACTACTACTACCATCACTGCAGCTGCCACTACTTCTATTACTGCCACCACTGCTTGCTAAGTTGCAATGCTTGGGGCACATGAGCACAGGTCCAGCCCCGTTGAGGAACGAGTTCATGCTCCTTGTTTGCTTGGGGTTTCACTCAACGCCTGCACGAGGACACAAAGCGAGACAAAGGTGTCTTTTGCCCTCGGAGGCTGCAAACATCCAGGAGCACTACTACTGCTGCTGCTCTGCTGCTGCTCTGCTGCTATGTCGGGCATTACGACCTGGGACTGGTAGTAGCACTCGACGATAGCAGGTGTATAGCGTTGATAGTAGCCGCTTCAGCGTCAAGCATAGTCTGATGCATCTTCTACGAGTCTAGTAAAGGTTTTGCTGCAGCTGTCTGCTGCCGCTGCACTGATGCTGCTTGCTGCTGCTGATTTCGCTGATTCGTGATGGTGATGCTTGATCGATGACGGTGACTACGGTGATGGTATTCATGAAGACGATGATTACCGTGGTGGGGCCAAAACTAGTCATGACAAGGGTAATGCAGATGAGAATGTCAGCACTGAGAGAAGATAAGATAGATGCTTCCGGGGCGTAGGCCAAGATCGATGCCTGTCAACAGGTCCTTCCTGGCTTCCTTCGCAACCTGACGCAAACCTCATACCGTCTGACCCTTACCTGCCGTATGCCAGTCTTCCAGTTGCACTGCTGAACCTGAGCATCTACAGCTCTTATCCCTGCAGAACGCTGTAACTTTGACTAGCAAAGACTGAGGAGAAGATTTTTGCCTCCGTCCAGCCTTACAAGTGCATGCCAAAGCTGGTTCAGGCCCGGATGTCTGTGGTTGAGAATTCGCTGAGTCTGCGGTTTGCAGTGTAATGGGCCGTGGATGTGTCTGATGCGCGTGACAGGCCTCGTGGTCTGCAAGCCATCTCCACTGCCAGTGCCAAGGCTAGCAGCAGTTCACCACATTACGTAGACAAGTTGCAAGGAGAGCAAGGGCATCCACCCCTGGGGTGCCTCCGGGCTCCTCCACCCACCGTTTCATAGGATCGCACGATGGGGTTGCAGTCAACATCCTTTCTGATCGACGGTCACTAGGAGAAGTAGGTCCTCTTCCCTTCTGCAAGAGAGACGCTTCCATGCCTGGGAGGACTGGCGAGTTCGTGGAGAGCGAGGAGGCGGAAAAGTCTGGAGACACTTGTGTAATCTGTACTCAATCTGAATACCTATGTGTGTATATATATATATATGTACACATCTGCTATCATCTAGTTTTGTAACCATTTATTATTGTTTGTTTAAGCGTGCCCACACACACACACACACACTCTCTCTCTCTCGATTACATACATGTGTGTGTGTATATATATATATATATTCATATGTGCGCACGCATCGTATTCTCTTATATACTTGAGCTCCTGAGATCACCAACAAGCTAGCAGGATGGAATAGACAAGCAGATGCAACTTGACAGTAGCAATGTTGATAAGGTCCACGACACAGTGGAACTCTGATAATCTCTAACGACCAAGTGACTCGGAAGCACCGGGACGAAGATAAGCAAGACAAAAGACGACATGATAGCGACAATACTAATAAGAGCCAGCAGAACAGCACGAAGCGAAGCCCCGGTAATCTCACCCCATGAAGCCTCGATCATGGACAGGCTGAGGATGACAAGATGGACTTCACCAGCCCACGGACGCCTTTTCTTGGCCGAAAAGTTCCCCTGCACCGGGCTTAGCAGGGGCTGGACAGAGGAGAGGTTCCGAAGAGAAGAGAACGACATAGGGCGAACACGGATCTCCGCATGACGAGTCTTGTACAACTTTGCGAAAGGGTAAGCCCTCAGAACCAAAAGAAGAGAAGCCTAGCAGCGAAAAGCCTTGAGAATGAAGCGTGTGGCCGACGAGGCAGAGTACCTACAACTCCTTCTGCGATGATCGGGGGTCACTTGTCACAACCCCACCGCCGCCAAAGCGGAACAAGAGGACCGGGCCGGCTGTGGATCGCTGGGCAGGTTGCAAAGCCTTAGCCAAGAGCTCCAGGAATCGATCTGAAGTCCCTCTGGGATCTTTGGAGACGAGCTCCATCGTCAAGGCAGGCCTCTGAAAGTTACAGTGTGAAGATGAAAGCATGGCTGTGCATTTTCGGCAAGGTCCGCACACCGCAAGAAGCTGTGTTTTGAGGAACGCCCAGATAAGCATGGCAGTTAGTTTTTGTACCGTGCCGGGTCCAAAAACGTCTGGGGCCAAAACAAGTGTTAGAAATTCTGGCTTGCCCCCGAGCCACAACAGATGTCAGACAATTCGGTCCTAAACCCTACACCTGGGTCCAAAGCAAAAGTTTGTGATTCGGGGTATAGGTACGAGGTAGAACTGTCCAAACGATAGCGACTTCATGTGGCGTACTCCTGAAGAAATCTCCCAGATCAGCCACTGCAGTCGCTCCAATGTAAGCCAAAGTAGGTGTGAGCCCGAAGTTGTCCGGTCACGATGGGACCGCTCTACTCCATGACTTACACCGACTTCTGGATGGGCCAATGTTGCATATCCTGCTCCTGATCCGGGTCGCACAGACCTGAGCACGTGAGTTTCAGGCCATTCCTAGAAACTTACAGAGTCTGTGCGTACACGTTCATGATTTTCCGGCTACGCTGCGGAATCTATGCTTTTGGCTGCTTCAGCCAAACAGTGGAAATTAGATGTGCCACGAACGATTTTGCCAAAGACATACCTTCGGGCTGAAATCTTCATCGCAGATCCACATATGGTAGTTTCTTGCGAAATGCTGCCTGGTACCTTTGGCTAACACAGAACATCCCAGTTCATGCGCTGATAAGGCATAATGCATTGTTGCACGTTGCACTAGTCTAACTCTTGGCGGATCCAGGTTTTATTCGTTCGGTCTTTGAACCGACACTCCGAAAGTATAAGCAAGCCTCCCCGAGAAAGCTCTGCGGCTTGATCCTGTGTTTGTGGGTCGGCTTGTGTAGCAGTGGGTGGTAGTGCCAAGACCTACGCTCGCACATGCCCGTCTCGTCTTGCAGAAAAACTGTGCAGTTTCGATGCCTCAGGGCTGCAACCGTTGTGCGAACATGTTCGATGCTGGGTTTTTGGCTGAGATTTTGTGTACAGAGCCTGTGCACAAAATGAATGCGGCGGAAGGAAGGTGGACGAATGGCCAGTGGAGAAGAGCAGTGGGCATTCAAACCAGTGCCTTTTGCTGTATGCGAGGTCCAGAGTGCAAACTTGAGTCTTACGAATTTTCAAGCAAGAGTTTCAAAGTTGATTCGCTTTGAGTCACCAGTCGAAGGTCCCAAATATATCGGGAATAGGTCAAGAGCAGGATTAACAGGGGGCATGGTCCGCAACGCTTCGTGCGTTGCGTTTCGGCAACCACAGTTGTCACGTTCCAAATCGGGAGGCTCCGCCGATGTTGCTGCCGTTTGACACCAAAGGCGGGCTTTTTCTCTCAGTGTAGCATCAAGACAGTAGTATGTTCGGCCTTGATTCTTTGTGTCAAGAGCCTTTGTGCAGGTGTGCCAAGCGGACGGGGAGGTCTCTCGGACGAGGCCGTGTCCGCTCTGATTGAGAGCTTTCCGATGCACAAGAATCATCAGGACATAGACGCTACATTGCTCGTGACGAAGTTTGTTATTCCGCGTCATGCATATTTCGGATTTGACTGCCCGCAAACAGAATAAACATGCTCCCTGGAGTCTGCTATTTCTCTTCTGGTTTGCACAGGAAATCCTCCTTCGCAGCAAATTGCTGTACTTGGATTCCCATCCTTCCAGCACGCGCCTAAGAGCTGCAATGTCTTGCATACTTCGAGCCCTGTTGCTTTTCCACTTACCGCATCATCCGTCGTCCTCCGCTGGTGTTGAGACCTGACCAGAAGTTGCAATTCCCGAGTCTGCTCTGAGAACGACCCTGCATGACCTGCTTGCCAGTGTCATGTTAATGGGGAGGACAAGAAAACACGAAGGCGATCTTCAAACAAGGCCAGGATACCGTCGCGTCAAGTGTCAATCGTCGCTGCAGGTAGACAGACTGGAGTTCTCAAACACATGCCTGATGACAGGGTGGAAGCAGCCGGGCAAGACAGTGATGAGAGACAACTTCACCTCCTACCCGCACAGCAGGAGCGTCAAAGAGAAGAAGGGTACTACAAGAAAGGTGCAGGCTTCAAGCTAGGAGGATGTTCTGATGAGCTGGCAGCAGGAGTGCAGAAAAGCGTCTTGGTGGAAGAAGGTGCGCAAGTTGCGAAAGCTGTTTGCAAACAGTGTCAGCTGTAGTTCACGGCCTGCGTCTCGATGAAGCGAAACACGAAAGGGGTGTAGCAGCAGAAGAGCAGAAGTTGGAAAGCATGTGGCAGCAGCACCAGTGCTACGATCCCTAGCATGGGCTTCACATTGCAAGCTTTGTGGGTGCGCTCCTTGCAGTTACTTCCCAGTCGGCGAGAAGAACTGGCATTCCTGCAAATCTGATGCGGCCTTCCATCAGGGCGTGCACCGGTGGCCGAGGCGGACCCGTGTCGATGGTCGGGTCACCAAAACCTAAGCCAACACCCCCAAAACTTCACCCGGCCTGCTTAGGCCGTACCCCACCCGTGCCTGGTGCCTAGGCCTAGAACTCAATGCGACAGCCGCCCACGCCATCCGAAGCCAGAAAACGTGAGTGGACCCTCCGAGACCAGGGTGCGGGAATAGGTAAACAACACACCAAGTCGATCTACCTTGGAATTGTGCTTGTTAGGCTCTACACGAAAACAGCTTCGCTGTATGTGGCCACAGGACAAAACCTCCGTGCGACCAGAATCCCAGAACGCGAAAAAAAGCTTCAAATCCCCAAAGCTCGGCGAATGACAGAGGCGGCCGCTGCACGGCCCGTCCAACGGCCCTCAAAGATGTCAGACGGCCCCAGGGAGGTTCCGGTCTCTTTGATTCTTGTGGCTCCAGACTTCAGGGTGTTAGGTTTAGGTTTCAAAGTTTTCAGGTTTAGGGTTTAGGGTTTAAGGCTTAGGGTTTAGGGTTAGGGTTTAGGGTTTAGGGTGTAGGGTGGCTCCAATCTTTTCGTCTCCCGCCCTGGCCAGTTTGAAGCCTGCTGCACGCTATGGCGAAGGCGGACGCTGGTGTTTGCTTGAGCATACGGGTAGTTCTCTAAATTAGGGTCCCTTTGGGGGTCCGTTTTATAAGGGTGCCGTATTATATTGGGGGCCCAAAAGGGGGCCCTAATTTAGAAAACTACCCATACACTTCGGGGGAGCTTGACATGCCATCACAGGCCCGACAAGGCTTCTTGGCAAGCCGTGGAGAAGCTTGGATGGAACCTTGCATGAGGTCGGATGACAAGGAGCGTGCCTTGCAACTTTTTAGCCGACCAAGATGAGCATGTACCAACACTTAGCAAGAGTCCTTTAACGCCATTGTGCACAGGGGCTGCGTTTTCTGTCGTACACTGTGTGTTGGGGTCTTGACCTCAAGGCCTGGTCAGACGTGATCATGATATATATATATATATATATATTTTCTTATATGTATATATATATATACACTGGTAAGAGACCCTAAACCCTAAACCGCTCCAGATACATGTGTGAAACTTCAGTGCGGCACTGGTCAGGAGCTCATCGCACAGACGACCGGAGCTCTGATTTTCCCAGAAGCATGGGGGCTGTTGGAAGGTGGCATTCTCGAAGCACGCTCTTCTGGGGCAGCCCTAAGCACATGCTTTCTGCTCGGGTTCGGAGATCTCTGGCTTCGACCTGATTGCAGTTCAGGTCTTGGACAGATTTTCCCAACGTTGTGTTCCACGCAACTAGCTTTGCGTTCATTCTCATAGCTTAGTCCTTTTAGCAACTCTAGCAGGCGTCGTGTTAAATAGCCAGGCCTCGTCTTTTTCCTTTGAGGAGGGTTCCGAGAATCATTTCGTTGAGCATGCGTTCGTGGCTTTGCTGGCTGCACGACCCTGAGTCTAGTCCCTATACAGTAGCGAAGCTCAAGAGCTTTTGGGCTTTGGACATCGAGGGCATCTAAGGTGCTCCCGTACTTTATAGCTTCTTAGCGTCTCTGCTACCCACTGATGTGGAAAAGTGCAGAGGCTTCATTGTCATAGGCCTTCGTGCTCCGACGGGCAATGATGGGCATGAAAAAGCCAAGTTCTATGGCCGAAGAAGCACGCCAGCTACAAGCAAAGCGAGTGCAGATGCAGACCCACTTCGCTGCTGAGTTGTGCATCTGTTGCAGCTGCTAAGATCATGCTGCAGCAGGGCCAGCCCGTGCGAAGCCCAGCGGCGATGACCAGCTCCAATCCTCAAGGCATCTGGTCATTACCACCCAGTTCCTGCTTGGGGATTTAGCCGAGGTCGCCACGCTGGCTGAGTTGGAAGCTGCACTGTGCCTTGCAGAGCAGCAGAGTGCGCCTCACAGTGCTTGATTCGTCTTGTCGCAGGCCTTACCACATGAAGCTTACACTTTCATGCGCACACCAGGTTTTGGATCATGAAAGGGTCAGGTCAGTGCCGTATCCAAGTTTCGTTTGGCACCGGCTTGATTTTGGGTGCGCTATCGAAGGTGCACTCGCGTTTGCGTCCAAGGTGCACTCGCGAAAAAAACCTAAAGTGCACTTGCACGTCGTTTCCGCAACGTAAAAATCAGGCTGCCGTGCCCCTCAGGAACCTTTTCCCCAAGACGAAAACCCTGAGGTGTGAATCCAGCAGGAACTTTTCCCCAAGACGAAAACCTTAAGCAGTGAATCCAGCAGGAACCTTTGCCCCAAGACGAAAACACTAAGGAGTGAATCCAGCGGGAACGTTTTGCCCAAGACGAAAACCCTGAGAAGTGAATCAGCAGGAACCTTTTGCCCAAGACGAAACCCTAAAGCCCTGGATCCTGAGCCCTAAATCCCAGTTCCCCGAACCCTAAACCTTAAATCCAAAACCCCCAGACCCCAAATCCAGAACCCGTAAACCCCTAAACCCCTAAACCCTTGATCCCTTGGACACAAAGCAGGCTGCCCCCTGCCTGCTGCCGCTGCCCCTGCCTCTTGCCTGGCCTGCCCTTGACTCTAAGAAGTGGTCAATTGTGCTGGAGCTTTTGGCTCCCTTTATGATAGACACCTCATGCCCTAAACCCTGAAGCCTGAGCAACCAAGGGGGCTCTTGTCGCCTTGCTGGCATCTCTTTCCCACATGGGTAGCTTCCGCACCGTAAAAACCAGTAGATGCGCGAGCGAGTGCGCCTTAGATACCCCTGCCCTCGCTTGATTGCACGGACCTCTAGAGTCTCGCCCTGTATTTAGGGCCGCTCTTGCCACACTCTGATATCCAGCATGAGTTCTCTCAAGGGCTTTTACAGATGGTGAGGCTTGGTCCCTCCTACAGAGATTCGCCGGCGGTGGCAGACTTTGGCTGCCTCTGCAAGAAGCTTGGGACGAGCTTGCCGTGGCCATGTTTGTCTTTTCTTGTTTCAGCTCTGTCTCAGAAACATCATGAGGCCCCGAACCCTTTCACGAGATTTCAGATCTCCACCCACTGATCCATCCCATCACATCCCAGCCGGCGTTGATCTCGATTCAGAATGGCTGCGACATTCCCTGTGGTCTCAGGCCATTTCCTGGTCGCTGGACTGCCTTACCGCAGCTGGCGACAAGGAGTGGATCTTTGACCAGGCTCTCCAGATGCTGCCGGGGATCCCAGCCTAGCGCTGAGGTCAGTCCTGCTACTGCCGCTACCACTGCAACACGAACACGGCCACGGCGACAGTGTAAAAGACTCATCTGGTACTGTACTGATAGCAGTAGTAGTTCTGGTGCTGCTCCTGCTGTTGCTACTGCTCTGTAACGTCGAGGAGGAGGACGACGACAACTGCCGCTGTCGCTTCGGTCACAAAAATCGCAACCGCATTACAGCTGCCGCCACGTAGAACGAGCATGTTTACTCTTACTGAGAGCCTCCCCTAAAATGAGCCCGAGGTGTACCGCCGAGATCCTCACAAGGACCGATGTGGCCGCACACTGGCAGAAGTTCAGCAACCCTTTTTGCACAGTCTCTCGGTTTCCAATATAGAAATGGCTCGCTTCTAGGCGCCCTCCGAGCCAACCAAGGAAACCTTCGGCGCGAAGGCAGTGCCCAATCGGCTTTTCCTCCGTGCGCTGAGCCTTTGTGGTCGGGGTCTAAGATTGACGAAATTCTGCTGGATTCCAGTTTCCTACCAGAGCGTAACCTGCTTCAGGGATGTTCAGGGCCATAAAGTGTGCTAATTCGGGAGCCCTGCTTCTGAGAGCCTTCGGTACAGCACATCGGGCATCATGGGCTTCGCAGACCAGTCCTGGCGTCGACTCCTGCGCATGAGATTACCAACTCTCAAGACCCTGCCCTAAACCCTAACACACTCAACTGAGTGAGCTCTTTGACTCGCTGCGAGAGAAAGGGCTACTGCATTGAAAAAAAGCCCTGAGACTGGCATTGAGACCACAGTGCTCTGCGAACGAAAGGCCTTGCGAAGAGAGAAGCATGATTAAAGAACACTAAGCCCGAAACCGACGTCGTCTTACCGCCTGATTGTGCGAGAGGCCTGGGTGGCTACTATCAGCAGCGCGGCAAGCCCAGAGCTGCGGTCCGCTTTCTGGAGCAGGCTCCAGACTCTCGCTAAAAGATGTGTGCAAACTATGCATCTATGCATGTATGTGCGTGTATGTATAGTATATACAAATATACGCCTTTGCAGCCTGTGCATATACATGCACAGGAACCGCAGGTAGGTTCCCCGCCGTCTCTGCCTCCTCATCTTCAGATCCGCTTCTGACATTGTGGCATCTGTACACAGGTTCAATGCCCACCAAAAACTACTTGAAGGCTTCAAGAAACTGGCCCGAACTATGACTCACAGGCCGTCGCCGGGCACGCCAAGTTCGCGCACCCTGCCGTGCTGCTGAACCTATGCGGGCCTCCAGCATCATGCGCCTGACTTACACAGAAGCACCTGCACTGGAGGCAGTGCCCATTTGCAGCTGCGGGAGCCTGGGCCAGCGCTTTCCTATCTCTCGCAGGCTGAAGCATGTCATGGCGCTGACCCTCGCTTCGGATGCCCTGAGCCGGCAGGCAGTGCTCGCTCTGCGCAGTGCGGCCGGCCGCCTCTGTCCGCAGCAGGCCGCTGAGGCTCCGGGGCATCAAAACGTTGAGGATGCCATAGGTGTCCTGTGAGGTGTTTCGGTACTCGAACAAGCTCTTGGAAGACCGGAATCATAACCAGGAGCCCAAAGGCACAGATCAGCAAGCATGCATGTGGACAGAGCTCGGTATGAGATCAGCCGCGGCCTTGCTTCGGCCTGGGTGGAAAACTGTCGCGTGCATGGCCTACTCACAGACACATTGGCCAATATTGTGCAAAAGCAGCGATGAGGGTCTCTGATGTCCAACTGTTTGCAGAGGGGTGTTTGATCGACTCGAGCCAGATGTGGATCGATCCGTTTGATTGCTACTTCGCCTAACAGTTGCTTGGAGCTTTCCCCAGCATCTGTCAAGGTGGATGCCTCAGCGACTGCAGCTACTGCAGCGGTTCTGGCCGTCTTGGGTCCCGCTGCAAACCCGGAGGCCGGTGTTTTGTAGGTTCAATCGTGATCCCCCCACCCGGATTATGCTTCAAGTTTAGCTGATCAGGACATGTGCAGCGAAGTCGCGGCAGCCTCAGCGGTGTCCCGAAGACTCACATGTCAGGAAGGGTGAGACCGGTCTCAGGATGTCCGGCTTCGCAAAAACCTTTGGGTAGAGATGGACCCGCTCGGTATGCCGGGCACACATTGGGTTCAGCTGCCAACTCTTCAGAGGTTACACATTGTTTTTATTTGCAAATAGTAGTAATAAACATGATAACAATAGTAGAAGTAATACTAAAGAAATAGTAGCAATAGGAACTTTGTTTCTTCTCTGGCCAGGCCGGGGTATTGACCTTGGCAACGAGCAGCAGAGGCGCCAATGGACGTGAGACGACCCGGCGTGCAAAGAGGATCTTCGTTCCCGCAGGCTTCGCGTCGAGCCCGGCGGGAGTCTTGAGACTCCCGAGGCAGGGTATTATAACTATATATATATATATATATATATATGTATATAGGTTCTATATATATATATATATATGTATATTATAGATTATATATATATATATATAAAGCCAGAAGAGCTCTTTGGACCTCCGCGTGCCTTTCAGGCCTCGGTGAGCAGCCTCGCGAGCCAGAGTAAGGAGGCCTCTGGGGGCCCTCACCGCTCTCGGAAAGTGTTTTCGTGTCGGATCCCTGTCGGGAAGATGCAGGCATTTTCTAGATGCTGTTTCCGACAAAGAAGACATTCCGAGATTCTGGATTGCATTTCTGGAGGCTTCAGTCTGAAGATTGATGTTGCATAGCAGGAACAACTCTTCGCTCCGTAGACTTTGCGCAGAAGCATCTTTTCATGACTCCTCCAGGAGGCTCTTTTGCGTCGTGGCAGGTTGGCAAGACGTCCCGTGTCTGCAGCGGACCTCGAAGAGGGTTAGGCCAGGCCCGGCAGACCTCTCTCGCCGTGAGAGCGGCCATGGAATCTGTGGCCCTGCCTTGAAGTTTCTCTGCAAGCTGTATGTACCCAGCGTTGTTCCAGCGGCAGGGTTTGACGCAGCAGGTCGGCATGGCCTCATTAGCAAGGAGCATGCAGCCTCCAGCAAGGACGGAAGGAGTTTGTTCGAGAGCTGGGGTCAAAAGAGTACTGGGACTTGGTTTCAGGATGTCTGAGTGTGGCGAGCACAGCGTCACTAATGAGTTGTTGTTGACGGACCTCTGTGCGATCGGACCTAAGGCGGACAGGCAGAGTGAAACACTGGCGGGTTGCACATCTCCGACCCTTCGAGTGAACCACACCGTCCGTTCAGCCAACAGGATGCTTTTCAGTACGAGGTGGATGCTGCCGTCGTGAAGACACTCCTGGTAGCCAAGGCTTGGAATTTTCCGTGTCGCCTCCTCTCTTTAGTTGGAAGTCTCAGGTTCTCCTGTGGCCGTGGCCAGAGCTGGGGGAAGAGGTCATTGCGGTAAGAGACACGAGTGCGAAGAAGTTCTGACACGCTTTTGAGCTCGTACTTAAGTTGTCCCTGCCACAGCTGTTTGGCTCCGACTACCGCACCAATTCTTATTACTGTGGCGCTGTGCTTTGCAAGCATGCAAAGACATTTTTGGCGGGCCCTTTTGGTGGCCCTCGTTAGTACCACTGATGACGGTGCATGCCCTGGCGAAGACACGAGCATGCTACAGGCGAATGCTGTTCAAACCCAGGCTGCACTAATTCGGATGACTTCGAAAAAGGAGACGAGTCTGGCAGGAACGTGCTCTCAGAGAATGACCTTTGAGAATTCTTCACACACATATCCTATTCAGAATCTCTACTGGCTACATTTTCCTAAAGCGGGCACAAGTTTTATTGCAACTGTGTGGAATTATGCATGTGGGCAGGGACGGGAACTTTTAGATTTGACAGTGAGCGACACGTATGCTCCCACATGCCTACACTGTTATGACTTCGCGCTGATGGAGCGTTATCCGAAAGACGAGTACTGCAAGCAGGGTGTATTGCATACGCAATTCACCACTCAACACTGGCCTGTCTCCATGGAGCAGATACAAGACCGCAGACTGCATGTTGCAGCAATGTTTCGTCAGCCGAGCCAGCGCATTATCTCGGCCAAGCATGATGGATTGCATGCTAGTGGCCTTTCCCCCCCGAGCTATGCTGAGCTGCGCCGCAAATGTGAACACGAATCCGCGGACTGCTTCGCACGTTATCCGGGCATTGCGGGCTGCATGACGCGCATGCTGACTGGCAAAACGTGCGCCGAAGACAGCAATGACCGAACCGGTCCCTTCGATGGCGGTCGGGCGCTGGTTGACGAGGCCAAAAAGGTCGTTGGGGAGCTGTCCTTCGTGGGGTTGACGGAGCATTCTGGTCTTTTTGATCAGTTCCTGTGTTCCTTCCCCTCCCCCACCCAATGCTCGGTACCTTAAACTATACATCTTTGAGACGTTATACTTTTTTGTTTGTGAACGGTTCCGAGCTTGACTTTCGCTGTCGATGCGTTGATCCGAATAAGGCGCTGGAACGAGTCCGTGTGCCTCTTCCACCGCATGTTTGGAGGCTCCATCAATCCGGCAGAGTTTATGAACTTCCACCACAACCACCGGCATGACGGCGCGCACCATTATGGAGAGGATCGCCTGAGCGGGTTCCGGGACGAGGCGGATGAGGCGGTCTACGCTGCAGCTCAGGAGCGTTTCGAGAGCCTCCTCCGAGAGAACGTGCCAAAAGGGCAGTCCCCCTGTGATGGCTTGTCAGAGGTTTCTCAGGCTGAGTGTCGGTGCGAGGCTCAGGAGCAACAATGTGGCTCGGTTCCGGACGCGGCTCTGGACTGCGGGAAGTGCCCGAAAAGAAGACTGCTCTTCATGGGAGACAGAAAAGAATCAGACTTAGAGGTACACTGCAGTGCTGGTGCTTGCCAAGCAAGCGGCCAGCACGTGTCAAACAAACTTTTTGATTGGGCGCCTTCGTCGTTATGGCAAGGGTAGGCACACCCTGAATGGGGCGTGGTTGCAGAGCAAAGACACCAGCATTAAGTTGAAAATAGCGGGTTCGTGTGCGCTTAAGTCAGTTTCACGCAACAGTGCTGTTAGGCGGTGGTTGTTCATGAGGACCGGGCCCCCCGGGGACTGCTGCGAACACGTAGCCTGGAGGATCGTAGACTAGAGCGAAGCTTAATCTAGAACAATCTTCACCTGCTTCCCCTTACTTACGCCCAAAAGCCGAAATCGCAAAGCCACAGCCAAGCCTTGAGCTCTCCGAACCCTAAACCCTAAACCCTAAACCCTAAACCCTAAACCGAAGGTGCAGCAGAGCCAGGAGATCGTCTCCGCGTACCGAAACGGCGAGGGGCACGTGGGCCTCGAGGCCCATCCTGGCTGTTGAGGTGTGGGGTTGAGGGTTCCTTTGAGGGGAATTTAAGGGATCCTTTAAGGGTTTGGGGTTTTAGGGCTTTAGGGTTAAGGATTTAGGGTTCCTTTTAAGGGATCCTTTGAGGGTTTGGGGTTCCTTTCAGGGTTTAGGGTTCCTTTTAAGGGACCCTTTAAGGGTTAAGGGTTCCTTTTAAGGGATCCTTTAAGGGTTTAGGGTTCCTTTTAAGG